ACACACACACACACATTCACACCCACATTCACACACGCACAAACACACCCACACTCACACACACACACACACACAAACACACCCACCCACGCACAATAATTAAAAAAACCTTAAAAGTACTTGATACACAAAATTGTTCCTTATTCCTTGACTTTAAAAACCACCTTTCCCACAGTCTCTATCAGTCCATTTGCAAATTCTTACTGTCCAGATGAAAATTTTTATACACTAGCTTTCTATGGAAAGGAAAAATGAAAAACATCAGGCTTAGTAACTATTAAACCCAAAGAAGGCAGTAACAGAGAACCCACGACTGGCAGCGTGAGGCCGGGTACTCACAGGAGGGACAGCTGGTTCATTCTCCTTATCAAAGCGTTTTTCTTATTAACTAGCATGAACCATTCCTGCATCATGGCCTCCTCTTCTTCAGTGTTCCTTCCTGCAGATCACAAGCCAATAGACAGTTCAGCACAAGTGTTCACTTTAAAACTCTTTCAGGTGCTTCCAATGTATATAGGGCACTGCTAACAAGACTCAGGTCAAAGGCCTGAAACAGGGCAGTAAGCAGAAACTCAGAAGCCAACCTTTTTCCAGAGCTGGTACTCCTGCAGCATGCATTCCAGCCCCCTGAACTTACCGGTCTCGAATACCAACAGCAAGTACCGGAAACAAAATGCTCCACCTTTCAAATCCTCCCTAGAGGCCGACTTACTAGTATGTTTCAATGAGGTACTCATGGTGCCGACAGACATATGGCCATGATTTCTTTTTTTTTTTTTTTTTTTTACATTAAAAGATTATTATGAGAATTGTAAGGCTAGCAGGGAGACCAGAGAAGTCCAGAGATGCTGTGAAAGCTTTTACTTTTAACAACTTAATTCTCATTTTCCTCATGGAAAGTAAAATAATGTATGTGTGTACCACTTAGGACTCATTGACTCTAAAAGATAAAACTACTTAACAAGTTATTAAAAGCACTGCAAACGACACGGCTACAGAAAAGACAGCTCTCTGTGGAAAAATTATTACAATGAATAGAATGTTTACAAAATTCATCAAGGAGACACTCTGCCACTTGGATTGTGAAGTAACTCCCAGAAAGACACTACTGTCTCTCACACCCAGCCAGTCATGTCTGTGCCATGCTCCCACACAGGAGGACGCATCACAGTGCACCCTTGACGCTGGCCACACAACAGCACTGTGCATGCCGCAGCTGAACTGAAGAAAAATGCTTCTGAGGGCACATTCTCCTTCTCTCCTTTCAAATTATACCAAGTCAAACTTGTGACCCTTTCACCCCCAGTTTCACACTGTGGTTGTTTTATTGTTTTGCTAACTCATTATTTAATATTAACAGTCCAGTTTCCACACAGCATTCATAGGGTAAAAAAAAAGGCCTAATAAGAGTTAAATCTCTCTGTTAAGACTGCTCTGTACATGTTCTTTTTAAATGGGGCAGTATGATCTAAAAACTAAAGACACTGCTGGGCATGGTGGCGCACACCTGTAATCCCAACACTCAGGAGGCAGAGGCAGGCAGATCTCTGTGAGTTCAAGGCCAGCCTGGTCTACAAGAGAGTTCCACAGGACAGCCAGAGCTGTTACACAGAGAAACGCTGTCTTCGAAATAAAAAGCAAGCAAACAAAACCCAACAACAACAACAAAAGAAGACATTGCGTCCATTTAAAAAATTCAAGCAATACAGAGGTGTAACTGTGTTTAAAGTCTTCTTTGAGCACCTCCACCCTCACTTCAGAACTCTCTGGCTCCTGAAGTAGGCACTGTTACAGACACATGCTCTTCTGAACAACTGACTGCCATGTCCACCAAACACATGCATGCACTGTCTGCTGACACAGACTGCTTTCAGTGTCAGTGAGATGGTTACTATATAATGACCTAGTGTATACTTTGTCATGTATACATTTGCCTAAATATTTACTTTATAAATTATGGAAATGCCATAATTACACTATTTCCACGTTAATACAAATTTAAAAAATGTTTCAGAATACTCAAAGCAGGTCTGTGTGTAGAAGGTTGTGCATGAGCCTCAGAGTGTGCGGCCTGTCATAGGGAGACATCGAGGATGCACACATTGTTCCGGCTCAATGTGTGACGCTGACTTAGGAGAGACTCTTTCAGAGGCTGAACAGAAGTCTTTATTGTTTTACAGTGTTTTCATCTCTCCTTTAGGGTAGCTGGTTTTGTATTCACTTTGGACCATGTGATGTCTTGACACTGGTCATGTGATCCAGGCTGCGATAGGCACAGATCCCTGGGTGGCAACAAAAGAAGAAAGAGTAAAAAGAAAAAGCTGAGAAAAAGCTTGCAGTTTGGAAAAAGGCCAAATGTACCCCGGTGAAAGCGTTTTGATCAGTGAAATGACACACGTGTGCAATATTAATAGGTGTAGATTTCATGATATCTCATTTTCTGATGAAAGGCCCAATTCTTGTGTTCATAACTCAAGTGGCTTCTAAAGATACACACATATTAAAACTCTGTTTTGAGTTTAACTTGACCTATAATCGAGGCTTTCAGGCAATACTAGAAGGAGCCAGCCTACTCTTGCATTAGCATCATTTTCTTCAATGGAACACTGCTTTCTAAGTTGACAATATTGATGTGGGACTGTGCTATTTTCTCTTTAATTCATGTCTGTATTTCCAGGTAAGAATCAAAGATAGGCCTGTAATTTTTAGGAAATAACCAATAATAAGAACAGCTCATGTTTTAAAAGGAAATAAGCCTAACAAATATTTAAAGACACATTTACACACTGCTACCCAGATTACTTCTATTCACTGAAAAAAACAAAAACAAAAAAAAACCAGAACTCAATTCTGAATCACTAATCCTTACTGAGGTAGTATACAGTGATGGAAATCTATACGCAGCCTAATAATAAAAAAAATTAAAGTTTCTTCTAACATATTACTACACTATTGTTTATGGGGATTTAAATTTTTTAAATTTAAAAGCTTTTAAAAGCCAGTAAGTTGAACCATTACAAATTAATCCCGACTTTAATAACTGGTTAAAGACCCCTTCAGCTTTATAAGCAACAAAAATATTAAAGCCTCTGATCGCAGTGAGCTTTTCTCATTTCTCCTCGAACCATTTGTTATTTAATCCAATACTAGTAATCCAATTTGTCCATCAGACTTTTAAAGGGCAGAATGCAACTTCCTCCGCTTAGACACTTTTCAAAGTACAATATATTTTTCAAATGAATGCTGGATGTTTCATTTTTCCCAACTGTTCCTAGCTCTAATGCATGAGGAAAAAAAGAACAAGATGAACATTGTTCATACTGATTAAGTAAGAGCTCATTAAAGAGCTGTCAGCTCGGTACTTTGAATATGCATGAAGCATATAATCAGATCTAGTACCGTCACTAGAGGAGAATACGGTAAGTACAAAGGATTGATTTAATTACTTAGAGTGGGCTGTGGTGGCGAAGCAGTCTTGTTAGTGCAGAAAGAAAAAGAGGTTGTATTCTGGCACTGTGATAGAAAAGGCAGTTTTAGCTTCTGCCACAATACCTAATCTCAGAATAAAGCACTTTACACTGTAGCTTAAAATGAGGACTGCCACGATAAAATGCCCATAAATCATTTAATCTTGTTTAACCTTACCTTGTAACTACCTCTTCTTTCAAAATTATTTTAAATTTGTAATTGCAACGACATTTCGTCACTGGAGAGCCAATACTGATACTTCTGTAAATCCTAAATTCTTTTTAGTTTTATAATCTGAAAAATTCACGACTTAAGACTAGTGAAGGCCACTCTGAAATAAGATATGACTAAAAAAGGTATGAACTAAAAGTTTAGTATACACTTACTAAAACGGCTATGTATAACAAAAAGAACACCACAAAAAGAAGTTTTCACCTTAAAATTATAATCTCTAGTAACAAACACATAAACTATAGTCTGTTTCCTTGAGGAGATCTGTATTAATCTTCCTGAAGGACTGTGGCAGCTTTTCTGACATCAAATGTCTTAACATCAGTTTTTTCCCCCTTTCTTTTAATTAGTCACTGTAGCTGGAATCTAAGCTGTAAAAACAAGAAACAACCAGGGACAAGAGCAGGAAAGGCAATCGTGTGTAAACGAGACTTCGTATCCGTTTCCCGTCTCTCGGGTAGCCGAAGTTACAGAAAGCTGCTCGTGAAGGCCAGCGTTGAGAGGTGTGCAAATGCCTACCACTGTGAGAGCAACCACTGTTATATTTCAACTCACAAACGATTAAACAATTGAGATGGTTTCTTTCAGAAACTCACTCACTCACCCAACAATTTGTGGTTTTCATTTCTCTTTTCAGAAGCAGTGTCTTCAAAGTTTTAAAATAAAGAAGAGTGAGATTCCAGATATGGAGTTCTGTTATTTACAGTACAGCGGTAAGATTCAAACCCTGGACCTCATCCACGGACAGCCCGTGCCCCACCACCGAGCCACACCCCGCGCACACTGCCGAGGGCCCTAACAGCAGCCACACTTCAGGCCCTCTGGGGCCGCGCGGCTACAGGTAGGCATTTGGCAAAGCCGGTCATGGCCAGCGCTGTATTTATTTTGAGGCACACTGGACATATTTCACAACGGGTGAGACAAAGCGAGTCACTCTCCGCCGTCACCCCGCAGAACAGGCCACTCGAATCATGAGCTGCCTCTACAGATGGGCAGGGCCGAGCCAGCTTGCCGCCCTTTTCTGGTCTTAAAGCTCTCTCACAGTCCTGTCATGGAAATGACTCAAAAGTGGCTCTAGACATGGCAAAGATGAACATAAAGAGTTGAACAAAATTACTTAATATATATGTCCATGTACTTACATGCATACACACATATATAATTACATGTTACAAGAAGGATTCATAAACCTCTATGTATTTAGGTATGTCAAAATTTCCAGAGGTATCTTTTTATAAGGAGTCAACATTTAAAAATATATTTATTTATTTTGTGTGTGTATATGCAGGTGTAATCAGGGTATGTGTGTGTATGTGTGTACATGCAGGTGTGTCAGGAGTCGGTTCTGTCCTTCTTTGTAGAGTCTGGGGGTTGGGCTCAGGTTGTCAGGCTGGGTAGCAAGTGCCTTTTACTGGCTTAGCTATTTTTCTAGCTCAATTTTTTTAAAAAAATTTTATTAATTATAAATTTATCACAATTTATTCACTTTGTATCCTGGCTGTGGCTCCCTCCTTCATCTCCTCTCATCCCTCCCTCCCTCTTCTCCTCCTATGCCCCTCCCCTAGTCCACTGATAGGGGAGGTCCTCCTCCCCTTCCATCTGACCCTAGCCTATCAGGTCTCATCAGGAGTGGCTGCACTGAAGTCCTCTGTGGCCTGGCAAGGCTGCTCTGAGGGGCAGAGGGCTGGAAGTTTTAAAGTCTGTAAATGTATGGCACTAGGGAGCCTTTCATCACCAGTT